TGGGTAATTGTACTTTTAAGTGGTCCATTTTCCAGTTTTGCAAGGAAAATATTAGCCAGTAGAGGGCCCAATGGTGATCCCATGGCGACTCCATCTAGTTGTTTATAGTATTAATTGTCAAATCTGAATTGGACGTTCATAGTGCATCTAAGAATTAACTGTTTTATCGCGCATGCGGGAATCGGGGTTTCTATGCGTCTCGCCGTTAGTTCATTGCAAATAAATTCAACCGTTTCGAGTAGTGGAATATTAGTGAATAATGATGATACGTCAAGTGATATCATGAATTTATTCTTGACTGATAGACTTTTTATGTTCTCCACAAATTCAAAGGAATCTTTGACACTATGTCTGACAACAGTCAGTAGGATTTCTCTGGCATTGGCTGTATACTCTCGACCGTACCAGGGAATTTGGGAGCGAAAACAAATAACGTTCGTAGATTTTCGCTTAAACCGTTTTTAACAAAACAATGAGCTGTTTCGACTATCTACTGTCTTTCTGAAGTCATTTCATTAATGAATTTTCTTTATTTGTATTTTCTTAACGAAATAGCTTACCATGCTTTATAGATGTTTTTAGACTACTTATTACAATGTTATAAGTAGTTGAAAAATCCTGTTGTAGTTTTAATTTTCAAAACATCAATGTAATTTTTAATGGAAACTGAGTTAACAAATCCTTTATTTGTGTGCCCAAACATCGTTACGCGCATTCTATATTTGCAGGAGTTTTACACTATAGAACAGGTTTCTTCAATCAGACAATTCGTGTAATGAACGAATGGATCATAAAGCATTAGGATAAACACAAAATGTAATCTCTCCTCAAGCAAAGATGGATAGTGGCTAGCAGTGCAATCCAAGACGTGTGTTTCGTTCTAATTGGGACTCGTCATCTAGATGTACCTGCATCGCAGAGTTGATGTTCATTCCAGGACTCGAACCCATCAACTTCATTCCTAAATAAGAATGGGAAGATACAAGTAACAAAACATCAAGTGAATGTAATCTCTTATCGTTTATTTCATAATTTCTACAGATCACAATTGTATCAAAGTTGTGTGGATACTGAACTATTCAATTGAAGACTTCGAAGTGTTAGTTAAATTATTCCCTTTCATCTATCATCAGATAGAACGAGAAAAGTGCAACCTCTTCTAAATAAACACGTTTCGAAATGACTTCCATGTAAGATCTTAAAGAGTATGCAGTTACATCATAACAAATCTACAATTTTAGATACAAGTCTATTATCAGAGCACTACTACTATTATCATAATAGACCATAATTCTACGCTCCCACTAGTACAGATTCTGAAATGCCAAATAACATATTACTACGCATTATACTATCTGCATCACTTTAACAACGACCGGATAATCTATCACTATCAACACTACCAATACTACATCTGTAATTATTGTAGAGAGTAGGTAATAGTAAACAGATTTATTAAGTTATGCCAATACACATACTGCATAACTGAAACGTGTAAAATGTACATGATGTAAATAATTTGGCAAATTTTCTTTAATTGTTTTTTCACAATCACCATCGTCCTTTCATTTCCGTTCTCATTTTAGTTGTTGACCGTTTTATCTTCTCTCCTCTTTTCTCTTCCTTCCGCTATTATCCGTCTGAATTCTACTTTCAATTCTTTAGCGATACTATATTCTTCTGTTCATACAAGTGAAACACACACACACACTTTACTCATTGTAAATATTCCTTTTGTTTTTACTGCTTTGTGGTGTTTGTATGAACTAAGGATTCTTTTTGTACGTGATTGCTTGCTTGATTCGAATTCCAAATACATTACATTCTTTCGTTCTTATCTGGAACTTCTTATTTAAATTGCGTTGTTTCTGAGATTCTAAGTTGATGCCATGATTCAAATACTCCAAATCATCATTGACTTCTACCATTACTAATTATACTTATATTGAACGTATTATGATTAATTGAGGTGGTGAATCGAATTATGTTAGACGAACATTGAAAAACTGAAAGCAGTCAACGACCGTTACGTCCAAGAATGAGACTCTGCAACAACATTTTGCTACCATACTCTATTGTTTCCGATGAGCAACAGCATCACACATGACATGGATGACCTGCAGAGAGAATTGTGTGTATGAAACACAGTTTTTGAATTTCGTGTACACGAAATCATATAAGATTTGTGTTCAATCGATACTTTTAACATATGACAATGTGATCAATGTTATTCTGACGAAATTCCAAAGAATATAGAAATGATCACTAATATTTCTATCATTACACAACCCTGTGATGTAATGCAACCTTTCATCTGTCACACTGTTCAAAGGTATAGAGAAAAGATGTATCATCTGACTATGACAAAATGTATGTATGTTTCAACGAGACATCATTGCAAATAACTGACATCTATGTACATATGTAGGGTATATAGATTCTGAGATGAGATCTAAACTGAATAATGTTTTATCTCTAGTGAAAGCGTAATCCAACTTAAATATCTTGATACCCAGGCGTTTGCGATCGAATACACATAAATTAATCACAGTTAGGCATCATCTCTCTTTAGTTATGAAAATGAATCGTGAATTTCTATGTCTAATTTGGTTGTTTGTCATAGTCGAATGAAAAGCGATAACAGAATGGATATTGTGAAAACTGAAGTTCATTTCCTCGAATGTCCATCGACTATCACTCTATTGTATACTTATAAATTGTGCAGATTATATAGATACACATAAAGAATGCCTTCATTCAACATGATCTTTCGAATAATCCACTCATTATTGCTATCACGTGAGAATAATATATTCATTCCATTCTACTTCAAATTATGAAGACATGTTGTGACATCGTCATTTTATTCGAAAACGCAAACAAAATACTCAGGACATGGAAAACCAGGACACGCTCTAACAATTCATCAGGAAATGCTTATCAAACTGATCAGTAAACACTACATTAACAAAACATGTATTGAGTGGATTCATTATCCTATCCCACGTGTACAACACCTTCAAAATCACAAAAATGAATTACTTGAGTCTTCCACAACTAGGTGTTTGCACACAAAACCAAAGAAATCTTTACAATATATACCGTACAATCTAAAGAACACAAGAACAATTGGAGTCAAACCAACCATCATATACCAGATAAATAGTTGCGACTGATAGGAGAATTACATTATACAAAGTAAATAAAGTGTTCTGGCAACAATAGTTGTAGGTGGGAATCCACGACATAATTTCTCTGAAATCAATCTATATGGATTACTGAAGATTGCGGAAAAATTGAATTACTAGATGTACGATACACAAATCCTTCATATATTTTAAAAGCTGAACAAACAATATAGATTTGGGTGGGTCATATACATGCTTAACTATTTTCCAAATAATTTAGATGCACAACAAACAGTTAGTGCTGCGAAAGAGCCTTAAATCAATTAGAATGCACAATCAACCATTGTTTTCACTGAGTTACTGCCTCAACGACATACACGGTTGAACCACACTGACCACGAATTCTCCCTAGAACTTCAGGAAATACCTCACGAAGCCAGTCACAAGTGAGCACATGATGGTTATTGTTCAGATGGAGTTTCGACGATACTTTAGTAATTTTTAATAGTTGATTTCATGGATCAATTAAAGCTAGACAACCATGGAAAACTCCATTGTGAGAATTCAACTGTTACTAAATAGACTTCACTAATCAGATAAATAATTTCGGTTCCAATTCGACTGTGTTACTTGATTATTGGATCAGTGGATTATGCCTAGTTTGAAGTCGAATCAAACTCACTTCATATTGAAATGTATTCAGATGCTTGGATTTACATGAATCATCTTTGATTACAATAAATAAACTACTAACAACTTGTAAGTAGTAAAACGTTCACAATTAAGATTAATAAGATTAAGTAGATTAGTTTTGTTATTGACAATTTTTTTACACTGCGTGGTATTAATTTTCTATAGATGGTGGATGGTAGCACAATTTCATGGATTGATTGCAGGTACACATTAACACTGTTGGATTCTGGCCAGCTCAGTTATTCATAAGTTAAGTGTTCACACACGAAGTCGAAGACCCTGGTTTCTAATCACATGTGCAGGATCGTCGATGCGCATTATTGATGAACCTCAGATTTTCACAATTGATTGACTACTGGGTGGCGATCAATGTCATGCGTGTCTAGTCATTATTATTGCAGACTGAATTCTATCGATCATGTTGCAATATGGCCACCAATCTAGATGACTCGACACTGCGGGCACTATATATTGAGATGAGATGGTGGTTGGAGGTAGTCGACAGGAAACCCTGTACACGGGTTTCATGCTATTTGGAACTCATCAGTAAGATGTACCTGTAATCTCGAGGAAACTGGTGCTCCCTGGCGGATTTGATTTCGTGTCACCCAGCTTCACAATCAGAGACGTTACCACTGAGCTATCCAAGCCGCGACTGACCTCCTGTGAGACTGAGATGTAATCACAATTGATTGATCACTGAGTGGCGATCAATGTCATGCGTGTCTAGCCCTTATTAGTGCAGACCGAATTTTATCGATCATGTTGCAATGTGGCCACTATAAAGATCTTTGACGAATTATTGATTTTTGTGTATAGTTTTGAAATGCTTTAAAGCTTATAGACAATATATTGATACATCGTTTTTTTATTAAACGTCTAACAGAATGATTTTACTACTCCATTATATTCTACAGAATTCTTCTACTCTGATAATACTATGGTGAGTGTTACTGATCTGGATAGATATAAGTAGTATGTGTCATCAATCGAAAGTCACAACATTTGACGGTAGAAAATCAAGAAGATCGAAGCAAACAGGACAAGAATAAAGAATAACTGATGTAGCCACGAAAGAACAATGAAGTTGGAGACAATTGATCGATATTTTGTAAATAAGGCATTATTTTCTTAATGTATAGTTCTCAGATATTACAAAGGGATTGCGTAATACTGTGTTCAAATACATTTGATTGTTCCGTCTCGTGTGTTGTCATTCACTACAGTAGTAGTAGTAGTAGTAGTAGTAGTAGTAGTAGTAGTAGTAGTAGTAGTAGTAGTAGTAGTAGTAGTAGTAGTAGTAGTAGTAGTAGTAGTAGTAGTAGTAGTAGTAGTAGTAGTAGTAGTAGTAGTAGTAGTAGTAGTAGTAGTAGTAGTAGTAGTAGTAGTAGTAGTAGTAGTAGTAGTAGTAGTAGTAGTAGTAGTAGTAGTAGTAGTAGTAGTAGTAGTAGTAGTAGTAGTAGTAGTAGTAGTAGTAGTAGTAGTAGTAGTAGTAGTAGTAGTAGTAGTAGTAGTAGTAGTAGTAGTAGTAGTAGTAGTAGTAGTAGTAGTAGTAGTAGTAGTAGTAGTAGTAGTAGTAGTAGTAGTAGTAGTAGTAGTAGTAGTAGTAGTAGTAGTAGTAGTAGTAGTAGTAGTAGTAGTAGTAGTAGTAGTAGTAGTAGTAGTAGTAGTAGTAGTAGTAGTAGTAGTAGTAGTAGTAGTAGTAGTAGTAGTAGTAGTAGTAGTAGTAGTAGTAGTAGTAGTAGTAGTAGTAGTAGTAGTAGTAGTAGTAGTAGTAGTAGTAGTAGTAGTAGTAGTAGTAGTAGTAGTAGTAGTAGTAGTAGTAGTAGTAGTAGTAGTAGTAGTAGTAGTAGTAGTAGTAGTAGTAGTAGTAGTAGTAGTAGTAGTAGTAGTAGTAGTAGTAGTAGTAGTAGTAGTAGTAGTAGTAGTAGTAGTAGTAGTAGTAGTAGTAGTAGTAGTAGTAGTAGTAGTAGTAGTAGTAGTAGTAGTAGTAGTAGTAGTAGTAGTAGTAGTAGTAGTAGTAGTAGTAGTAGTAGTAGTAGTAGTAGTAGTAGTAGTAGTAGTAGTAGTAGTAGTAGTAGTAGTAGTAGTAGTAGTTACTATCGTCGTATTAGTCGTAGTTCTCATCGTCTTCATATTAGTAATAGTCATAGTATTATTATTGACTTATTAATGTTCAAAATCTATGAAAGTAAATTTATATCTGATAAACTTTTCATCATCATAAATATAGATCTCTAAGTAAAATTTAACAGTGTTGAAAAATTTCTCCACAAGGGAATTATCCTTATGAAGAAAATGTTTATTGTCAAAAAGAAATTAATCAAAAGAAAGAAAACCTGAAGGCGGATGGTGGTGGTGGTGATGATGATGATGATGGAGGTGGTGATGATGGTGGTGTAGTAGGTGTTGGTGATGATGAGGACGATGATAGTTAGAACAAAAAGAGAGAAAAAAGCGGGGAAACAGACAAGAATAAACATGAATAAGCATCTGTATTGGTGTTAAGAGTATACTCTGTGGGGAATTTATTCAACGACAACAACAGCAACAACAACAAGAACGAAAATAATCAATAATTCCATCAGAAGAATTTCTTTTCACTTATTTTCTTTATTTTTTTTTAGTTTTTCATTCTTTTTCTGTTAGAATAAAATTTATTTAATGAATAGAAATGATGCAACGTTTGAATCGTCCGGTAAAGAAAAACGGAAAGAAAAACAAAAATCAAGTTAGCAATTGCTTCATAACAAATAAAAAGAAGGATTAAAGTTAGATATTAACATGGTTAGATAATTGGAACGTGAATATGCACTGTTGAGGAGTCCCATACTAAACCGAAACGGCCATTCAGTACTTACATGCATTCAATGATGATCAAACATCGTTCGGTTCATGATCTCAATCAAAAACCCAATAATCTCGACAACCCTACGCTGTTAACATGAAATCATTTAATATCTAACTAATTATAATGAATTACTGCTTGTGGATACAACCTGATAGGTACCAAAATTAAATCAGTCAAGTGCTTCGTACGATTATCATAAACTATATTCGATTGAATGCAATTATACATGGAGAACACCATACCGTGTATATTGCAATACATCATGTTGAGAACCAGATTGAATAAAATCACTCTAGCCAGTTGTTACTTTGTTTCAGTGACAATGGATTCCCTAATATTGATAGTTTAATTCAAAAGTAAGATGGTGGTTGGAAGTAGTCAACAGGAAACCAAGGATTCAGGTTTCGTGATATTTGGCACTTGTCATCAAAGTGGACCTCTTATCTTGAGGGAACTGATACTTTTTAACAGATTCGTTCCCGTATCATTTATCTTCCCAGTTAGAGACCGTATCTCAACATAGTGCATACAATTTAGAGTCGTTCGGATGAGTGGTCACATTGTAACTTGTTCGATAAAATTCAGTCTGCACCAAGAAAGACCTGACATACATGACAGTGATCACCACACAGAGATCATAGGTGATCTTTATGACCTCAAAAAGCATTAAGCGAACTTGCTTCAACCTGAAATTGGTCCTTCAAAACGCTAAGCTTAAAGTATTCACCTAGATAATAAATTTTTCTCATTATTTCCATGGTCTATTTCACCAGTGTATGTTGTAATAATACCAAATACTTTTGGTGAAACCAAGAAAAACTAACACACAGCCGTAAGGGAGAGGATTGGGAAAACAAGGACAGCACTCTTGGATTTGAAGACGATATGGAACTAAAGATAACTGTCTGTCAACTAATATCAAAGTCAGAATCGTTTATACGAACGTCAAGATAAATTAAGTCTATGGAGCTGAAACGACCAGAACTACCACAATCATCATCAAAAAGGTACAAATATTTATAAACAATTGTCTGTGTAGGATATTCAATGTCCGTTGATGTTGACAACATTAGCAACAGCCGATTTTGGAAGAGGACAAACTACTCTTCAAGCTGAAGAGTGAATAAGGAGAAGATGTTGAAAGTGTATGAGAAATACATTGCCGAAATCATCAAACTGCATCATGAATCAATCACTAACTTGAAATCTCGAATGAAAACGGGAAAGTGTAAGGCCAAAGGACACATTACGTTGAGAATTGGAACTACACATGTAAAAGATGAAGAGCATCTGGAAAGAACTGGAAAAGATTATTCCGAACATTTATTTTATTTATTTGAACACGTAGATATTTGTACAAGGTGGTTCCAGATAAATATACGCCACACAAATCTAATGAGATTTGTGTGGGGGCCGTGATACTGCCCGGGTGCCCAAACCGAAGCAGGTATTTTTCTGAGGGGGACACACTAAAAACTTCCGATCTAAAGGTCTGTTCTGCAAGGCAATAGAGCTTTGCAAGGAGATGCAGTCACATGGTAGTCTGTGATCAACGATTTTTTCATACACCATGTGCAACACTGGTTTGGAATCAAGGTTTTTCAACTCCCCTAGGTGGACTCTCCGTGTTCACCGACTCGGTTAAAGCGCCAGACATTCGCTTTTTGTCCTCTCAATTTTGTAAACAACATCCCCACCACGAGAAGGTAGTGAGTAGAACTTCCTTGGCAGAGGCTATATACGCGTGGTCATATGAGAGCATTTCGAGACCGAGAGAACAGACTCTCTCCATTCTCGACCATACCAGGGCATCTGATATGGCCTATGCTCCTCCATGAGTGCGGTCTTAGATGTAAATTAGTTTATCATGAAAATTTGAGTTGATTGTGTTTTGTCTTTTTCAAATTTTTCTTAATGAAGCCTAAAAAGGTTGATTGCTTCATTAATTCCATTTTGTGTTTTATATCTTATTTCATAATTAATTGAACAATTGAATAGATCTAATTGATATAAACTAAATAAGGTTAGTTTAATATGAAGGAATTCCAAGACATTTGCCTCTGTTGTTTGTTTTAATAGCATTTTTTGTAAAAATGTTAGATTCATAATTGATTAATCGAAAATGTCGCGGTATTGTTCAATAATCAATGATAATAAGCCCCCGTGAATGCCCTAATACGGACGAGAATGGGGAGAGTTAGCTCTCCCTTAAGAAATACTCTCATTTGCTCACGTACATATAACCACTGACAACGAAGTTCTACTTACAGCCTTCACGTAGTGGTGGTGTTTTTCACGAGATTAAAAGGACGAAAAGTCAATACCTGGTGCTTTAAACCGGTTGATGGATATGGCGAATTCACCTAAAGGGTTGGAAAACCCTGATTCCAAACCAATGGTGTACAGGGACTCCAGGGTCCTGAGTGAATAAGTGGCATATATGAACCAATTATCTGTTACCGGTTGCTACTGCCATGTGGATCAGACCTGTGGGTCAAAGGCTCCTGGTGTGACCCCATAAGAAGATCACCTGTGTTTGTTTTGGGCACTCCGTCAGTATCTCAGCCCTCACAAATCGAATTACTCATGTGGTGCATATCTATTTTGTGCTTCCTTGTACCAATTATTATGTGTTTAAATAATAAATAATAATAATGAGTGATATAATAGTTAGTTTTTAACCAGCATTTGAAGAAAATTCACTTGATATCATATACTTGAATCTTCCCTTTGAGGTTTAAGAACGCTAGTACTAGATTCCACTACTATCCACTGTCCACCTTTGTTTATGATGCTTGTTATTAAAAGCAGTATCAAGGCAATACACCCAGTACGTACATATGCCAACAAGATACTGATCAGCTGTGGTTCTGAATGACATTGAAAAGATCCAATTAAACGACAATACAAAGCGAATTTAAATTTCACACACTTGCACAAGCAAGTGGCTATCAGGTCTCAGCAGCAAAGTGGTTAATGCGATGGTGTTTGAAGCAAATGGTACTGGATTCGAGTTCTGGAATAAAAGTCAAATTGTTCATACAAGTACAAGCATCTGAGGAGTCACAAATTGAACGAAACGCTCGTCAAACTCCATCCCACTGCTAACCACTATCCATCTATGCCTACAATACTTGATCTGTTTTAATCATAATGAGCTCATGATAATTAGTACTCACACCTAACCGCTGGTCACATCAAAGTAGTATGTTGAATCGGATAAAGCGTAGTTGAAAAAACTATAGAAGAGATCACTCGACGAAATGATTGACTGTTGAACTACACAATATTGGAGATTAAGTACTTTTCAAAAGATTTCATTGTCAAATCTGAATTTTGACGGTGACTTCCAGTCACCTAACACAGATATTAAAGCAGTTTGAGCTAATGCATAAACGTTCACTATACCTTGATGAATTAGACATGGTACATTGGATATCTATTCAATCAGATGGTAAAATTAAACCAATCATATCTCTTACATAATTCACAGTATTAATGATTCATCGAATAATAACCAATCCTATGATATACAATGACTTGACCAAATTCACATTCAGTCAAAAACCTATTGTTTAATAATGATGGTAATAAGTGTACACATGAACAGCGCACACTATAAGGATTATCATTGAGGAAAAGCCTTACTCTAAAACTTACTACAACTAGTCTCCAACTGTCGGTTACAAATATCATCCTTATCTAGTCAAGAATGTAGCTGAACACTGTCCCACCTTACTTACTTACTTACTTAGCCTTATGGAGGAACGTGGTCCGCTCACTAGCACTCTCCATTCAATTCTGTCTTCCTCAACCAGTAGGCTTCAACATACATAAGGGAAAAAACATCCTTAAATGCAATACGGAGAACACTAACCCGATCATACTTGATGAAGAAAGCCTGGAACAGGTGGAAACACTCATATATCTGGGCAGAATCTTCAATAAACTTCTACTATCTAATACAGATGTAAAGGTGAGGATTAGTAAAGCAAGGGCAGCATTCATACAGTTGAAAAATCATATGGAACTAAAAACAACTATCAACTAATATCAAAGTCACAATCTTCAATATGAACGTCTTACTGTATGCAGATGAAATTTGTACAACTACCACAATCATCATCGAAAAGGTACAAGTAACTATAAACAATTGTCTGCTTAACGCACTGAATGTCAGATGGCCGAATACCATCAGCAACAGCTTACTGTGGAAGTGAGCAAACCAACTTCTATCTGGGAAGAAAACTAGGAAAAGACATTGAAAGTGGATAGA